CTATCAGACAGAGCCGCGACAAAACACATATCTACATACGTACAAATATATTTACTTTCGTATTTAAGGCATTTCAAGGCCGTGGTTTTACTAAATACCTACATACATACATACAATAAGTATGTATAAATTATATACAATAAAGGTATGCACGTTTGTATAAACAATTTCAAGTGCGTAATTTAAATTCACGACATCAACATGTGCTCATACAGACAAACATATCTACATACATATATATGTTTATTCCTATAGCTCTACGCTCTCTCTCTTTCATTATTTCTAATCACACTCGTTTATTTCTATTTGTCTGGCCCTATTCAGGTGCGTCGGCGTTTGTTTGCTTGAAAAAACAAAATGTTTGTATGTATGTAATAATAAAAGAGATTAAAAAGTAAAATATATTTACTTTAAAATTAGAACAATGCGTTTACGTCGAGAGTCATTTATTGTAGTAATTCACTATTTATTCGCAAATTTATACACATTACATACATATATACAAACATATATATGTGTGTATATTATTATGCACATTTGTCATCCAAGTCTACTGATAAATGTCTTTGAGCTTACCTACATACTTACAAACAGACGTGTATGTACATTAGTAAAAAGGGTGTTTTTTTAGACAAATGGTTTTCCAGAAGAAATAAAACGGAGATAAGGGTTTGCCAGTATGTTTTCAAAATGAACTCCACGTTAGGTTCGAATAAATTCCAGCCGAGAGGCTTAGTTTTCGACCACTTTTGCAGCAATAACACGCGCCGATATTCTCTTTCGAGGCGTCAATTGCCTTGTGCTTAGCTGCGTAAATGAGCGACTTCACATAACCTTAAAAAAAAATAAGTCTAGCAGTGTTAAGTCCTACGATCTTGGAGACCACTCCATTGGCCTACGGCGCGGAATAATGCGCACACCAAAGGTTTCCTTCAATAAATTGATTACTTCGTTGGGTGTATGCCATATAGTGCCGTTTTGTGGGAGCCAGGCACGAAAAACTCATTAATCATGAATCAATATCCCATTGACTGTAACATTATGGTCGGCTTCATGGGTCTTCTTCGAGGCTCCACTCCACAGCAGCAGCAACAACGTCTTCGGTGCACACGATTCGTCTTTGTCTAACATCTTTGAGGAAGCGTATTATTCGATGGAGTAGTAAACTTGAAGTAAACCCATGGTTGCTTGAATTACCAATTTTATTGGGCGATTATATCGACCGAATGCGTCGTGCAAATCCAATCATTTTTTTTGTTTTTTTTTTTTTTTTTATAAGCAGCTGTCAAAAGACCAACTGCGAAAAATGGATTGTTAGATTGAAAACCACATTTCTAAAAAAAAAAACACCCTTTCCATGCATACACATATAAAGTTTGTGTTCTTTTCTAACGAAATAAAAAAGTAAACAAAGTTAAAAATGGTATTGTTGAAAACATGTTAAACGAGTTTTGTTTATTTCCTATGGATTTTATCTGAAAGTACACTAACACGATTATGAACTAATATTTGGTACTTAATTGTTTCGCAGCGAAACGGAGCGCGTGGGGAGATAATATATTGTATATACATACGCGTATATGTATAAAAAATATTTCATAAGTTTAGCACACATCTATATAGTGGTTAAAAAGTTTCTTTTAACCGCTAAAGTATTTTTTTCAACATAATCCAAAAGTTCTAGGAGCATTTTAAGTTTTTCTGAATATATGAATGTGCGCCAGTTACCGGACGATTACTTATCCTTCAACGATTCCAGCGCGACTGTCATGCTTCGTAATATTCCTGGAACGCTTCGACGGGGATGGCTGCGAGTACCCTCGTCACGGCCGCCTGGATGTCCTCAATCGACTCAAAATGTGTTCTTTCGACCACCGATTTCGTTCTAGGAAACAAAACGAGTCACAGGGTGACATACCTGTCTAATGAAGCGGTTGTTGCAACACGGCGAGCCCTTTAGAATCCAAATACTGGGACACGGTGAGGGCGATGTGGCACGGCGCGTTGTCGTGATGAAGGATCCAGTTAAGAGCGATGTCTGGGCGCCCCCTGTTGACTAGTTTTCGCAATCTTTCGTGTACTTGGCGATAGTAGACTGGATTTGCGGTTTGCCCCGGTGGAAGAAATTCTTTGTGGACGATTCCACTGCTATCAAAAAAGGCAATAATCATCCCTTTCACCTTCGACTTGCTCATATCCCTTTTTAAAATCTTTATACCAACGAAACACCTAGGCACGACTAAGAGCGCACATTTCCGAAGCTCAAATTTGTCGCAATATGTTATCCCGCCGCGTTCCACTTGATTTCGTTTTTTCATTTTCGTGACGAGAAGAAGGCAAAACCACTAAAACCTGATGATAATTATATTACATCCGTGAGCTCCCTACGTCCTTTAAGTTTCCTAAAGGCATTGTGGCTATGCGAGGAGTTATAACAAGTACCTCCATATTATCTATCTATCTATCTATCTAATAAAAAGTTAAAAAGTGGAAGAAATGTTTTTTCACTAACCACACTTTTCTCCTAAACCAAAAGTAAATCTTTTAAGTAAAGACAATGTTTTTATATTTTGTAAAAAAAGTCCTTAGTACTGTTCGGTAGGTATGTATGTATGTATGAAGAAACCAGAGCAAACACTGAATTCAGATTTAGATCTACATATGTACATATGTATGTCAACTGTTACGAAGATGAATTTAAAAAACATTTTTTTTCTTTCTTTTTTTAACCTTTAAAGTTACTTTAAATACAATTCTCATTCCAAAAAAATAGTTTTTGTTTCAAGAACCCGATTTTACATACAGTTGTAAAACTACAAATTGCAAGTGTATGTATGTATAATGTTTATGCTTTTAGCAGATTTTCAACTCAAGCCTTGAAAACCAATAAATTCGTTTAAGAATTATTGAATACAGCTTTTCTACAATCTACAAGTATTTTGGATATTACTGTACTTTGGCGCGAGAATTTGAAAGTTCGAAGTTAAAATAGCTGCTACAAAATTGTCGCTTAACTACAATACATACACACTATGTAGACATGTCGCTAAAGAAAACATAAACCACAAACACAAGAACGTAAGATTATAGCACAAGCCTGCATATTTGCCATAATTTTCACAGTAGAAACTGGAATGTACAAATATAGTAAAAAAGAGGACAACTCAAAACATTTCGACCTATACAAACATAAGGAGCGCATCTTTTGGCCAACATCCCTTGTGTATAGTAAAACTTAAGGGCAAACCAGAACCTATGCGTTATCCCTACTTAAGTTACGTACTTACATACATACATATATGTATATACACGTACACTATGTATAGGGTATACACACGCATCAAAAATAGTACATAAACTAGTTACTTACATACTAGTTTTGTAATTCAAAAGTAAAACACCATGCATATATATTTTCGAACATACATAATACATACATATAAGCGTAGCGCTGCAGACGGAGGGGAAGGTAATCAGAAACAGGTAACTATTCGTTGTTGTTGTTGTTGTTTTTTTTGTAGGGTATGATTTACAGACAATTACAGTAAATAACTCGACCGTATGCCAAGACAAAAGTCATGACGGTGGTGCAAAATCAACTCACCAAACCATACAAATACTATATACATACAAATGTATATAATAATATGGAACTACGTCATTTAGCAAACAATTTTGTACATAAAATATGTAAATGACTAAAGCAGCAATAGAAATAAACTCAAAAATATTTTACGTCGGGTGCAGAGTACGTAGAGTACGCTTTGAGGGTGCGTACTGGGGGTGATGTTGCGGGAGGTACAAATTTACATACACACATATGTATATATGTATGAAAGTAGTATGAAAGATATGAGCAAACAGCAAATCACGAAGCTATTGAATGAAAATAGAAGCAAACACAGAAATAGCCAAGTCACAGGCGAATGTTTACGTACATTCAGACTTTATAAAAATCAAAATAAATTCAAGCAAATTCTCTGCTAAAAATATGTTTATATTGTATAGGCACATACAGACATACATACATCTAAATATGTATAATACACATGGATATGTATTAATTTTAATATAAATATATATATATATATATGTATTGTACCTTTATTTAGAATTTAACAGCTGTTTTTTGGGGTTTTGTATTATTCGCAATTTTGTTCCTATGTAAGAGCACATGTACATATGTATGTATGAATGAACGTCCAATTATGGAATATAACAAAGACACAGCTTTATATGTATGTATATACGTTTATTACCTTTTTGCGCAGAAAATAAGAAAACTACGCAAAACGGGGCAGCGTAGCTTCGCCGCGCAATGGTCGTTGAACGTTTGGCGACGCAGTTAAGCCGCAGTTCACACTCCAGCAGCGCGTCATGATGTACACATACTATGTTTATATAGATATATATGTATATTGTACATACGTATCGAGATTGATGCCTTTTATTCTGGCGTTGCTGCTGCATGTGTACATACAACTGTATATAATTGCTACTTTCTTTGCACGCATTCATTGTAGTGGCAATAGCTACAGCTGCTGCGAGCAATGTCACTGACACAGTTGAAGCATAATATGCGCCCATAGTAGGTACTTGAGGGCGGGTTGTAATTGCGTCCTGCCAGAGCTTACTTGATTATTTCTTTGATAATTTTTTGTACATCGATATTAATTATATATATGTACTTATGTATATGTATATGTGCACAATTTCTACTAGTATGCTGTTGTTAAAGACGCTGCTGAGTAATGATGTCAACATATAGATATTTAACATGAAATGTTAAAAGCAATTAACCATCTGACCCCCAACGTCGTCAAACGAATTGTACCCACACTAATCGAACGTGTACATTACGTGTATGTAGACTAATCAACACTTTTGTTGTTACGATTTGGCATACAAACTGTTTATAATACATTTTTTTTTAACTTTATGTATACATCCTAGATGCACAATTTATTTTATTGTATCACTGAATTGAATTCAATAAATACCTGTCTCGAACGTTGAGTTCCGTAACCACTAGCAGCTGATCGCCCTTCACTGCTATGTCCTATTTCCAATTCTAACCGTTTGCTATTGTTCGTACTTTTACTTCGCGTCTTCTGTACGTGGGGCTTGGTGTGAGTACCGTTCTGTTGTTGTGGGTCTACAGTATCCTGGAGGTGTTCACTCAGATGTTGCTTTGAGATACACCCCTGCTGCTGCTGCCGTTGTTTTGACGACTTTGTGGCCTGCTCATTCCTGGATGCACTGACACTGTTTCCCATTAAAGTTTCCGTTTGCAATTCATTTATTGGGTTTGTTTTGCTTTCACCGTATTCTGTTTCTATTGTTTCTTCTATTACCGCCTCATTCTTTTTGTAACTTTCTATAAGATACTCGCTGGTATAGTTTTGTCGTTTGCTTTATTTTTCACTTTCTGATAACAAAAGATTGAAGAAATTTTCTTACGGCAAATTCCTCTTATTTAGCCATAAAAACATATTCACTATTTATTCATCGCTTCGGTAACAGTTCAGAGTAGCGTATTTGGTATATTATATTTATTTAAAACTATTCAATAACTTTCTTTTGTTTTTAAAATTAAAGCGACCTTATATTCTTCTCTCAACATTGAATAGCAAACGAGAAGTGCTAACGAGAGCGAGTGCATTAAGAAACACAACGAATCCATTTTAGTGTTGCCAGATAAAGAAGAAATAATGACAGGGTTAATTTTTCTAAACTAAATTTTCTTATAAAGGTTATATTACTTAGGCCGTATACATGAGCGTTGACCTCGTATGAACAAAAATAAAGATCGGCTTGGATATATGTTTTGAAATGATTATAACTAACTTATTTGAGTTCTTATGACCAAACTCATTGGTAGTGTCGTTCAGAGCTCTCAGAATTCCAAGTCCAAAGTTTTTTTTAACAAAATTAAAAACAGGTATTGATTTGAATAGGTAATATTTCAATTTATAAAAATTATTTTTTTCTTAATTTTAAAAATTAAAAAAAAAAAAAATGCAATAGATTCTGGTAGCTGCTACATATGTTACTGAAAGAAGAAAGTACGGAAACGTGGACTTAAAAAAAGATGCAACCGCATCACAAAAAATGGATTAAATAAAAATATATATCCTTTAAATTTAGGCTTAGTGCATCTATGGGTTTCTTATCTTATGTATATTTGAAAATAGCAATTTCTAATGGAAAACCAATAATATTCGACTGTCGGATTCGGTTGGTAACATGATAGTAAAACCGATATTATTAGTCATCTAAAACGAAACTAATTCCAATTCGAAAAAATCAAATGATGTTTCCCTGATTTGAATAAAACAAGAACCGTTAATCATACGTACATAAATGAATTTAATTTTAATGGTGCTTCAGAAATTTTATTCTTAGCAGCAAAAGGAGCGACAATTATGACCTTTTCACAAGTTTTTTAAGTATATATTTATATCATACGTGTTTTTATTGACATTGAGGTATCTCCTCTTTTTACCAACGGCACTATTATCTCATATAATCTTAGTTTTCCTTCCTTTTGCTTTTTTGCGTTTCATCTCTGCTAATTCACTGTATTTGAGTGGATGTTGTGTATACTCTAACGTTAATGGCGTCGGAAGAGCACCTTATGCAAAGCGTCTATATCAATTTCCAGTGGAGTTTTACCTGAAGAACTGCGAGAGCTCGATGCTGTGGTTATTGCTGGTGCGGTGGGCTTATTTGAGGCGCGGGGATTAACCAACAGACATTTCATTGGCTGACCATCCAGTTGTCGATTATGATAAGTGTCTACTGCTTTTTCAGCATCGGTCAAGGATTTATATATAACTTCAGCTACACCTGGGCGCACCAAACGCGAATCATATAGTGGTCCAATGTCCTCAAAAAGTTCTTGAATATCGGACTGAGTGACACTGCTATGCAAATTACTTACTACAATTCGATAACCATTGGATGATGATGATTTGAGTGGATTGGAAAAAATCCCCATAGATGCATGTGGATCGGGAGCACGTTCCAAACGTGAACGCATCTCATACGAAAGATGTGATGATGGCTCTGGCACATAGCGGCGTTGATACATATCTGGACTTAGTTGTCTTGTACTGGGTCTTAGAATGCCCTTTGGTGGAGGAGGTGGTAGCTCTGGGGACATGCGGCGTTCGCGCGGTTTATAAACATCGAATGGGTCAAAAGCTTCTGATGAACTAACCCACGAATTCATGCGGCGTGTAGGTAGTGGTGATACATTACGTTGTCCAAATGTAGCAAAATCATTTGTGACAGTGCGACTAAGACGAGTGGCAGCGGCCATTTCCTCTGCAAGGTAAGAAATAAATAATTATTAATATCTATCAACTAATTTATTTTTAAATCAATTTAAGACATACCTTCTTCCAAGCGCTCCATATCGTCATAGTCGACATAACCGCGAGGCACATTTATTAAATCTGGCAGTCGCGCAGATACATGTGCTGGCTGCCTTAAATACGGTTGTGTACTTTTCAATCCAGGTTTGGGTTTGAGAACACCATTACGATACGATGCTGTATAAAGCTTTTTCGTTGAACTACGTGTTTTAAGTCCACTGGCTGCTGACAGTTTCTTAGCAATTAGCCTTTGACGTATGTCGCCACTAGCTCTTGTTAATTCTGACAATTTATCTCGAGCATCACGTATCTTTTCACGGTTTTTCTGTATAATCTTATTTCGTGCATCAGTCACTATACTCTGTTTAAATATAGGTTTATTTAACGTTTTACGCAACGTTGAACCTTTTCGTGGATTTTCCGCATTATTGCTGTAATGACACAAAGTGCTTATATGTAGTAAATTGATTTTACATGACAGCCACTACGTCTGCACACAAATGCTAAGATGTGAAGCCTTTAACGCCATTTTAATGATACTTACAATTTCTTAACAGCTGATGGTAGAGTGATTTTTTTTGTTTTAATTATTTCGTCCAGGCTAAGATCCATGGTTATTGCGTAAATGTGTACAAGATCTCCTCGAGGCAATTAACTATTAAAAAGTTGTTTTTATAAATTCTTTTCCTTCAAATATTGAAAAAAAAAGAAACAACTTTGCCTCCGTGTGCGAATATAAAAAGCCGATTCGCGTTTATTGAAAAGTTGGCTGTGATTCGTTTATTGTGAATAAGCAAATTGTTAATAAGAAGCAGAAGAGTATTTCAACTACCGCGGTGCAGTTTATTTTTTAACGCAGTTGAATAGTTTTCACTAAAGTTGTTAAGCAAGTAGTGATTTACATTATGCATATGTGAGGCTTTATATACCTATTCCACGGTTTTGAAAATATAAACTGCGCGAAGTATTGTCATTGTTATGTTAACTACCTGCGTAGTCATCGATTAAGAGTTTCAGTGAAGGTCAAAAGGATTTAAAATTCTACGTAATTTTAAGTAATATTATGTAGGTTAGAAAGTATTTTGAATTTTCGATGCATAGTAAAATTTTTCGGGTGCTAATTTGAGTATTTTTTTTTTTTAGCAATTTCGGAAGTATGATAAAATCTATCCAAAAGATGAGTTCTTTGCGTAAAATTTATATAACTGTAAATTCTATTTAATTCTCTGTAGTTTAATATATCATTCAACAATTTTTACTTATTTTAAATCAGGAGTCAAAAAGTATCATAATATTTTATTCGCATGAATAGCTTAGAGGAACCACTCTGCGGAGTCCGTTGCCTAATTTTCAAAAGTTTTTATATATTTTTATGTTCTCGAAATTCTACCTGTGACACGACACTACTGAGGAACCCTTATTATCCGATTGCAGTCTTGCATGATTGATGTATCAGTAAAGACAACCAAGCAAAAAGGCGTCCGATCATTTGAGCCAACATATGTCAGGAATGCGTGATGTCATATACCGTCAGCTCGTAGAACGATTTTCCCATCACTTTCTTAAGGCCGAAATGACAAATGTGTTGCTTACATTTGTATAGGTGTACGTCATTCTCTCTTCATTCTTGTCGGACAAACATAACACAGCTGAGCAACGGCATTTATACCAAAAGAAAACACGTACTCAACAACAAGAACATAAAATAAAACAGATTACCCTTTCAACTGCATTCTCCTTCAATTTGTATGTACTCAGAAGTGTAAGATAAACAAAAAAAATTGATTATGTGTTAGAGCCGCACGAGATTGTGTGAGTGTATTGGTCAACCCATCAGCCTGTTCTTGCAGGGGATTCTAGTGAAGCTGGACTAGCTAAGCCCGAATTATGTTTGCCAATGTGGAGTAAGGCAGTATCGGTCAAAAAGACTCACCATTGTTATCGGGTTTCCCCTCTTTCAGTAGCTAACTCCGCCGGGGCCGATGGAGGATTGAAGTCGGGAGGAAGTGTGCATCAGGCGGAGTTTGATGGGAGTGCCCTGAAGCCGTTCTCCTTAAATTTCGTATATGTCAATGGAGAAAATTATCCTATAATCTCGCTAAGCTCGCCGGATGGTCGAACTTTTGAGAGGATACTGCATTGCTGTTTTCCATTGCAACATCTAACTTACAGGCTGAAGAATATTTGCGGGGATCTGAATGCCAACTCCTGAGTGACAAGCCCATATTAAGAAATTTTGATGTGAATGAGAATTTATGACCCTGTAGTCTGTATTAGCTGAAGATAAAGAAAAACGAGACACCAACAAAATTATTACCAGGTCTTAAAAACGGACGCAAAAGCCGAGTGGTTAGTGGTTCATACTGTCGTTCGGAAAGCCAAAGTTCCAATCCTACATCCACTCTTAGCAGGGAATGCCAGCCCCTGCATAAAAATAAAAATCCTCAACCGTTCGGAGGCGGTTTAGAATAGGCTTTAGGTCTCACCATTTTTTGGAAAAACAGAAAGATGTACAATACGAAAAGAAGGAGGAGCTCGGACACAAATCGGTGGACTATGTCCTTTCTGAGTGGTCGACAGTCATCGATGTAGTTTCTTGGTCAAATATCCATACTCCGAAGAGTAGTGTCCTCTCCCCCCTTCTGTTTAATTTTTATTTATCGAAACACCCTCACCACCAAAGGGCGTTTCAGTAATCTCATTCGCCGGTGATTGCTCAATCACCGTATATTATGCAGCTTCGATTAGAGCGTTGGGAGAGACGTAGATGAAGTACACCGCACTTAGAACCATGACAGGAAACCTCCTGCTGTCACCATCCTTATGCAGCGAAAAATCTATGCTTAGCTAGAAAGAGCATAATGTCATGCTGTGTAAGCAATATCTAAGGGGATACTACCGTCGGGAGCAGAACTTTGAGTTTGGAGCAAAACCCAAGCTTAGAGGAAGTGCTTAACTCCACCGACTGCATTCGACACCATATATATACAAGAACCGCTGGACAGGACGCCGTACATACAGGCTTTAAACGCCACGAATCTTCGAAAGACACTAATCAAATCTTTGCATGCCCCTTAACACCTACACTACTAGCGTTCTTTTCCTCCTCGAATCAGCTATTTTCTGGACCACTCGACAGATAAGCTCAATGACTTAGACCAATCTTGCACGCTTCTGAGTGGGGTTGGGGAGCCGCTAACTCAATATGTAGACTTTTTCAACGACACATTAGACATGGACCATAACAAACAATTTCTCAAATGAAAACAAATTTTACAATTAATATTTTTTTTAAATTTTTTATTTGCAGTGCATTCTCTTACATTTTAGTATGGATTTTGGTTAAAACGCTGCATTGGACTTTACAAAAAACCGCTATGTATTTGTATTTGTTTCATAGTAAGTATACATGTCTGCATCTACATATGTATGTATGTAGATATATACGAAAATTTTATAAAATATGTATGCACTTTGTCAACACATAAAAGTCATTTCTAAATGTCTTAAATACGCATGTATGTTTGTTTGTATATATGTAAGTATGTATATATAAGTTGTAATCAATAAGCTTAATGACTAATCAGGGACTCGTTGATGCGTTGCCACGTCTCAAGATGTGCACTTAAACACCTAAAAGAGAATTTAAATATATAAATACATAAGCATATACAGCGAGGAGGTGCTTCAATCCGCCAATCAACATGAATTTCTAAGGCCACTTATTTCTTCATCTACTAGTTTCCCATCAATCTCACGCACTGCACTTGGTTCGGGACAATGAAATTTTTATTGTACGTTTGTTTTAGTTAATTTTCTTTTCTTTTTTTTTTTGAATATTCTCCTACAATTTTGATTCCAAGTTTTTTTTTTTGTCTTTATTTAATTAATTTTGTATGTCTATTTTCTGGGTTTCCCTTTTGTCTCTGCCAATATATCAAGTACAATATGTAATTTGATTGCTCCACCAATGCACTCGTGCTTCACCAATTTCGCTCACCAGTGCCGTAGTTGGCGCCACCCGCACGTTCCAAGGCATCACGGAAAAGTTCAATGTCCAGCTCATCGTCAACGCCCGCGTACAGCTCGACAGCGAAATTCTGTTCGAAGCAAAAAAAAAAAAAAAAAAAAATGAAATAAAAAATATTGTAAAGAACAAAGTAATGAACAGATGTGCATAAATATTCTGAACTGAACTGCGAATATAGTCAGCCATAACTCAAGATAAAAAAAAACAATAATAATAAAAATGCTTAACAATAATTATAAATCCTCAACTTGTAATGATTGTACTCAACATAAAAAGAAATTCGCACGCATACTCACACTCAGCACCTCACGTACAAGCGCCTTATCGGTAGACATTTTGGCACGTGGTAAAACACCGACATACTGGCCGATCCATGTCAGGAAGACGAATTTCAGCCGCTTCGACATCTCATCACCCATTTGTATGCGGATGTAGCCGAAGGCACGGTCATTATCACCGAATTGCTCGCGGAATTCGCTGAAACCCTGACCGCGTGCCGTACAAGTTATAATGGAGCCCTGGAACTTGAAGACGGCCCTAAAATTTGGATGGCGAAATGGGAATCACAAGTTTTCCTTATTACTTACATACATAAGTTTTATGTGGTAATGTCAACTCACCAGTCGGTGTCTGTTTGATCCGAGCGCACATCTTCGTAGGCCTCACGAATGGCATCTTTGTCGAGTTCCGTTGGTGCAAACATCTGAAAGTTGAAACAAATAATTGTTCATTACTATTACTTTAACAGTAAAATAAAATTCAAGTATCCTCAAGCGTTGTTGGCGTATTTACAGCGGGCTCTGCTTCAGTAAATTAAATAAAAAATAAAAAAAAAAAACATTAGTTCTTTGAATAAAACAGAATTACAAATAATATAATTACGATAAAAATAAAATTTGAATAACAATAAATTGCATAAAATATTTATTAAAATCAGCAAGATTATAGATTAGTATATATTAGTAAAAATAAAAATAAATACGTTTAAAAAAACATCAGTAGTTTAGTGAATAACATAGAAAACAACAACACAAAATAAGCAACTGAGTTCTTAACCGGTTTAAATTGAAGTCTCTAAAACGATACCCGTTTTCAGCAAATGGAAGGAGTTATGTTTTATTCTAAGCCACCTCTGCACGGCCGATTGAATTTCATCAGGAGGTTTAACTTTTATCTCAAAAATACAGTCGGAGGACTTAAGTTTCTCTGCCGAGGAGCGGCAGCAATTAGAAAAATTAATTTTCTATAATTTATATGTTGGTCGACGCAGAACTGGAACCCTGGTCTGTAGAACGGCAGTATGCAGTGCTAACTGCTCGACTATTGTGGCCGATCTGTAATTTAATTTTCAATAATAACAAAAAGAAAAATTGCAGCTGCGACTGCATCATTTATTTGCACTTTGAGTTCAGAAATTCAGTTTCCAGCTCCTCTCATGGCATTAGAAATTTTTCTTTCACTTAAAAGTGCCAAAGGATTTGAGTACCGTCAGAAAAAATCTTTGATAAATAATTGTGCAATAGATTAAATTACAGAAAATTTCAGTAAAACGTTCTTGAAATTAACTTGAATTTTGCTTTTCATTTCGACAGCCAATTCGGGTTCAGTTAACTTTAGTGTATGAAAGTACCTTAATAGCTTTAACGTTTCGTTATCCATTACAAAGTATTTTGACGTTTTGGAACATAACATAGAAATTAAAAATAAATATTATTAAGACCATTGAAATATGTATGTATGTACGTTCCGTGTATCAGTTGTATTGCATGTAGTAAGTCGAATTAGTTAGATTAATATGTAAGTAAATTGTAAGGTATTAGTGTCGGAAATGTCTGAAACCTTCAGTCAACCAGTGTTAAACAAACATTTGAAATTAAAAATAATAATATTTATTTTTCTATGCCACAAAACCCATCGTCAAATTTATTGACTTAATTAGAAGAAGAAGTTAAATTATATTGAGTACGTAAGAATTATAAAATCTGATTGAATCAAAATTTGTTAGCTTCAAAACTACACTATTAGCAAAAGGAAAATAATACTTACTTTGTTTTGATATGGTAGAGTGGAATATTAATTTTAAAATCGTCTATACATACCATAAAACAATATAAAAAACGACTGAAACTCGAGCTGTTGAGTAAAATGCTAAGGAGTTTTTTGTAAAAAATAATATATTATGTATGCAGCGACTTGTGTAAAATGGTATGCATTTAATTCAATGAACTTTATGAAATATCAACTAACAGGCCTATTCTCATTGTTACCGGTAAAGTAACACACGAAATTGAATTTTGTATTCTGGCGAAATGCTTACAATGTTTGAGAAACTTTGGCAGCACTGCTTTTTTCGTCCTTGTCTTATTACATTTTCCCTTTGATAAAGTAAAAAAGATGAATATTCCCATCGAAATGGAAGACGGTGCACAACAAAATAAATAAGTTTTATTTATTTGTTTATTAAATCATAAATATTTGAACCCAATTTTTGGAGAATATGCCTAAGCGACAAAAAAAAAAAGCTGAATGAAAACGTCATCTTACAAATTAAAGAGCTATTTTTCAGTCTCGAAAACTTCTTAAAATACGGTTTTTGCACTTTTTTCTTCATGTTCAATGAATTCCAGGCTTAAAATAATCTTTTTTCTCAAACTAACAACACAAAATCAAACAGTAGATTTTTGTTAACTCCTATTTCGCTGGCAACAAAATTTACAGGGTGACAGTGAACTCAGAATACGAAATTGTAACAAAATTTACTAAATGGTAAATTTTAAAACCAAAGTAAATTTTGTTACCTCGACAGAATAGGCATGTAAATGAGGAATTTAAAAAAAACCTTTTAACGGTTATTAATATATAATTTGTCAAAAAAATATTCTGGAATTTGGTTTTGTAAGCGTTATTATTATATAATTATCTTAATTTCGGGTTATTAATTATTACTTTTTTCTTTAGAGCAAGCGAAATCATATGAGAACAGATTGTCCATATGTCAAAATTCATATAATAAAATTGACAGGATATCAAATTAAGTATCATCTCTGCTTATAGGTGAATATTTCAAGAAATTTAATGAAACTTAGACCAAATTTCGAATTAATCCGGATTAGTCACACAGCATGAATGGAAGAAATCTTAAAAAACTAATTTTTTCGCAGAATTAAAGTCCTCATCAAAGAAATTGTTCAACTGTCTAGAAAAAAACTTATACAATAAGTATATATACATCTGTTAATTAAACATACATAAGAATATGTACATATATAAGTACATACATATGTATGGATGCAAGTTCAAATGAAAAAATATATCTGCATTTCCTTTTCCATGCCATTGGCATTTTTGCGATAAAGTTCGATTCGTTGTATGCGCAAACATACATACATATACAAATATGTATGTATATGTGATGAACATTTGATTCTTCTTCTTATTTATACATTACTGTACATTAGTTTGAACAACAAGCAAATGATTTGTATGTGTATACATACACTACGTTTCATAATTATAATACTCCATGCTCGCTTCAGTATGAAAGAAATAAAAATTAATGTCATAACCAACAAAAAAAAAAAAATTGGAAAAATTTAAGCAGATCAGGAGCCACTCGCAAAATGCATTTTTACAAAATTTAGCTAAATAAATAAGCCGTGCTCTATAGTCGGTTATATGAGAGGTAGATACATCGTCTCAAACAAAAATGACTTTAACAAAATTACAGTTTTATCAAATGTGGGCATGAACTTTACTCGACTTCGGTTTTTTGCGTCCGTACTTCTGACCAAAAAAAATTCATATGTTTTTAAGCAACAACAAAAGCACCTTCGCGAAGGATCTCTCCGAGCCTTGAAAGCCAATGCAGAGTCACTCTTGCAAACAGATCCTACATTGGACTGAGTAGACAATTAAAAATTAAAGCCTTATCTCGCTGTACAAAGAACAAACTCTAAAGGTACCTCATCACTCCCGTTCTGTTATATGTTACAGGGGAATGGACGATCACAAAATATTATGTGTCGGCCTTGGGAATTTTCGACAAAAACATTTTGCATAAGATTTATGATCTTATAATACCGCAGCCGAAGGAACCTTGAGCTGTACGAGATATATGGCGACATTGACATAATTCAGCGATTCGAGAAATAGCGGCTGCGCTAGCTAGGTCATGTGGTCAGAAAGGAAAAGTATACCTCAGCTTTGAAAGTTTTGCATGCAGTATCCGCCGGTGGAAGCTGAGGAAGAAAAAGAGCAGGACTCCGTTGAAAAGGCCTGGTGGAGTAGGCTTTGGATGTACTTGAAGAAAGAATGAACGGCTCATTGTTATTAACTCGGCTATAATAGCGTAAGCGGTGTCTGCGCTACTGAATAAGAAGAAGATAATATATCTATATATTTCGTGATTATTTCATGCTGTTAACGTAGAATCATTTTGCCAACAAACCTAAACCCGAGAATTTATAATTATAAAAATCCAATACTTTTTTCAATTTCTCAAACATCATCATAGGAGCTATAGTTATGAAACATACTGTAATCTGAAGTTTTTTTTTCCTCTCAGAGCACAACTTCCTTGTAAGCACTCGTCATTTAGCCTTTTTATGCATTTACATATGTATGTATATGCATGTATGCATACATGTATGTATGTGAAATGTGATTCATGTGCAACAAATACGCATGTTTTTAATCGAACATACAAAATATTTAAATACATTTTTATTTATAAAATTTTATGTGCACACAAACATACTATGCTTATGTGTTTAAGTACAATGATTGATTTATATGCAAATGTACGTATATGTATGTATGCATGCGCGTATTTTAAACATCTGACTCATGTATGGTGGCTTTTGCGCGGTTGACTTTTCAGTTCACTAAGGTTCAGGCAATGAATTCAAGGAATTCTTTTTCAAAAGCAGCCCGTTGTTCCTGCTTCTTCCTTACTTTTCTTTTCCAACAACTACGCACACACACACACACGCTTATACATATGTACGTTTTTTATTTAATTTTATATTAAATGTTGGAGTGCATTCAGTTTTGCAAGCGATGATGAATCAATTGATCAAATATGTACAATATGTACACGTATGTAAGCATGTATGTGTCGTGTCGATAGTGGACCTTATCTGCACATTACAAATAATTTCATGTAATTAAAAAGTTTGTTTTTAGCATGAAATTCTCACAATGCAAATATGGCACATCGGAGCCTTATGAAATCATTTTAAGTTTTGTTTCAACAAATTTTCTATTAGTAAAAAATTGAAATAAATACAAAATTAATAAACTAACGAAGAAAGATTGACTTGACTTCATCTGCCTCCAGAGCATCCAATGGAGAACATATTTTACTGAATTTTTAAATTTTGTGGATTACATATAAGCATGTATGTATGTAATTGGATTTGCCAAGTGTATATATGTACATGCATAAATGTATATGTATGTAAATATATATGAATTTAAAAAACAGACATTTTTCATGACCAACACTTACAATTTTCAATATGTTACCATACTTGTGCATGTATATACATATGTACATACGTATATGTATATATTCCCCCTCAAGTCGTAAAGTCGTGTTAAATGTTCAAGTGTTTAATTAGCTTAGTGCTACTGGAGTGTGCCATTGCCAGCAGGCCATATTTCTTTTTAGCTTTATTTGGTTGCCTACAAGTGCATTAATAA